TCATCTCTCTTTTTCTCCTCACATCTCTTCTGCATGGATGTAACAGCCGCACCGAAGAGACCGTGAGGGACGACAGGGGTGTCGAGGAGTTCCTCTTTTTCCTTAGTCGTCAGGTTGGTGAGCGTGCTCGCTCCTGAAGAACCATGAGGCCCATGGCTCTCCCAGTAGCCTGTATGGCTACCTTGTGGAGGCGGAGGACGTGGTCAGTTATAACACAGATTTCTTCCCACACTGTGGTATCTGTGTTAGCTGTCATGTCCTCTTCTAGCTCAGCTTGGTAAGCCATTAGCATAGAAGAGGCGTTGTGGGCTCTTACTGACAGAGCCGCTGCCTTGTAGCACTTATCTGTAAGGCTAGACTGGAAGCGGTCTGTTTTGGGAGGGAGAGATGGGGCCGATGAGGACAGAGACGTCTTCGGGTGAAGATGACTCGCCACCAACGGCTCCACTTGTGGCATCCGGCGGAGGCCGATAGACTCCATCCCCTCACAATCCAGCAGGGAGCTCCCCACGATGGGGTGTTTCTCGCTGCAAGGTTTTGCTTTCCACGTCACCGCTATCTCATCGAGTAGCTCAGGGAAAACAGGCAACACATGCTTCCCCGTCTTTTTCGCCTTCGGCAATTTCTTACCATCAAACAACCTCTGTTTGAATGGTGGGCCACGGGATGTTGAGCCTAGCAGCTGCGCGCTTGCACATATCCTGCATGTCGAGATCCAGGGGAGACGGCGGTGTCGGTTTTTCAACCTCGCCGGTAGCCGAGGGCTTTGCAGCCCAGCTGATGCTAGCCAAGGAGGTGGAATCTTCCTCCTCACTGTCGTTAGACAGCAGGAGCTCCGAGTCAGCCGACTCATCTCCGTCCTCGTTAGCATCTCCTCCCCAGGTGACTCCAGCATCGCGGAAAAACGGTCACGATGGGCTGAGGGTCTGCCTCTGCCCAGCTCGGCCCTGGCGTTGCGGCCAAATCATCGGGCATCTCAGTTTCTCCTTGCGCCGCAGCAGCCTCACACAGCAAAGGGTCGCCGCCCGACAGGTTAGCCTGGCGAGCTAGCCTGCAGCGGAGTAGTTTGCGTGGGAAAGCCGCACAGTGGATACAGTCGTGTGCAGGTGTCAAGGCAGCCTGAGCGTGAGATAAGCCCAGGCATTCCGCACACACGGGGTGTGTATCCCAGGCAGAAATCTTTTTGCCGTCGTAGCCATGGTTAGCTAGAGGGTCGCGCACGTTAGCGAGACTGACACTGAGTGCGGAGAATATTGCTATTCCTCGCTAACATGGGGTGAAAAGTGTTGCTACTTTTCTACAGGTATTGCTACCTAATGTGTAAAAC